AGGTCACTTCCATTCAAATCTTTCGCCTTTCCCCTTAGCTCCATGCACAGCTTGCCTATTTTTCTTTCATTCATGCATGCTCTGTATGAGTTACTCCTTCCATTCCAGATCAACCTCTCATATTCCATACTGTTGCCTGCATCCCACCAACTCAGTTATATGCAATCCACTGACACACATCCAGGATTGCTGGTCGAGATGGTAGAAATTGTAGTTAAATGCAAACATGCGCCAAGTTTGTTGTTGCATCTTCACTCTGTCTTGCATGCGTCCCGCTGTACTCAATGACTGCTCTCAGAATACCCAACTACAACAGGCAAATCAACAAACTGGTACAAGATACTGGAACTTTAGTCTCAGCACATTTGGACTGGGCACAACTGGAGCAGGCTAGCCTACTGCTCCAGTAAAATGCAGACAGCCTCTTTCCCAACTAGTTATATGGATTTAGGTACATGACAAATGGAAGCTGGTTGGCATTATTTCTAAACCAGTCCTCATGCTTCTAAGAACAGCACTTAATTATCCTGCAGTGTGCAAGATAGACGGTGGTTCCCTAGCCTGTTTCTCAGTGCAGTAGATGCATGAGTTTAAGCCCCAGGCCCTGAGAAGCCTAAATGCTCTCACTAGCCAGGTTCACACATCACATTAAAGCAAAACAATGCATGTTTCCTTGGATTGTGTGAACCCAAACAATTGTGGCTTATTCAAATAAACAACGGACAAGCCATAGCAAAACTGACAATTATGTCAAAGCAGAGTTACAAGCTCTTTATGTCAAAAAAGCCAAACATCAAGAGCTAGCAAGCTTTTGTTGTAGGCCTGATCAATTACCCTTAGCCAGAATTTGTAGATCGAAACTCAGTGAGGAAGAGAGGCAACTTGCTATCTCTGCAGAAGAAATTCGGGAGGACTGCTGAGCATTAGATGCCTCAACACCCTGGTGCATTGAATAACTGCCAACGTCCAGAGTCCACTGGAGTTGGGAGGCTTGTGTGTTAAAATAAATAAGTAAATAAATGGCCCATGGTGGATGTAAAGTGTTCTCCCAATTAATTTATTACTTGGAAGAGATGCCCATGCAATCGAAAACTGTAGATGACAGTCCCATTAAAACCAAATTGGGTTGGGTTGAAAATTGCCACGATTTAAGACTCTATTATCTTTTCTTCGAGAAGCAGGCAGGAAACCTATCTGGGATCACGTCAGCCCTAACCCTAACTCTAACCCCAGCTGCAGCACTTCCTCCTGTCTCCCAAGATTATTCTCCCAGCCCGTTACA